GATCAACTTTGGTTTAAATTCTTTTTTTGTCAGATTATCGCAAGTACTTGAAAAATTCTTACTAGAGTTATTCGGGAAACTCTGTATAATATAATTTTAAACTAAACTATTCTTTATTAACTCGATCGATGTGGTATTTCTTTTTTTTTGTTTTTTGTTTTACTTGTTATTCGAACTTCATCCGTAGTTAAATCATGAAAATGTTAAGAATCCGATAAGAAAAAGATCTCGGAACTATGTGGAAATTTATTAGAAGATAATTATAAGATTAAAAATTGGAAAATATTCTGTTGATATCAACATTTTTTTTTTTTTTTTTATTTCTATTTGCCTTTCGTTGTGCTTACTTCTCGTGTGTGTGTGTGTTTTTTTTCTAACCCTTGTCACAAATTATCGATATTATAGATAGTAACATTTTTTGAAACGATTTATTGTATTACATGGTAGTTGGATATGACGATAACGAGGTAAATAGGGTTTTTTTTTTCTTTTTTTTTTTTTGAGAAGGATGGAGAATTTTCCAGGAATAATAGATAGATAGATAGATAGATAGATAGATAGATAGGAGAAAAACCGTTCGTGTTCGATTTATTCTTTGGATAACGAGCCACGGTGAATTTCAATTCGGTCGTGTTAGTAGTAGTACTAGTTATTTTCTTAGTCGGATAGGATTTGTATAAAAGAAAGACAATATAATGGTATTCCATCTTGAATGCGAAACGAGTTTAACGGATATCGGATGACGACGATACGTTGTTTTCGTTTTAAATTCAGCGAAATTTCATTGAAACGATGTGTAACTGTTTATATAAGAGGTATAGGTAGGTAGGTACGTATGTGTACCCCCTTGTTGCATTACAATAATATAATGTATTACATTTATTTTAAACTATAGCCCTCCATAAAAAATAAAAAAAAGATTTTTATCCCGATTTATATTCGTTAATAATAATCTGTGTTTCCCGTTCGTATTTTGTAATATTTCTCGTACGTTGACCTATGAACATTTTTAATGGATTTTTTTTTTTTTTTTTGAGACAACAAGAAGAGGATACAAAGCTTCAATACTTTTATCCGAGAGCTTTTCTCGAGTTCATGAAGCTTTTTATCTTCTCGCCCCCCTCCACCCACCCATCCTTTCTCCGCTTTCTGTATTCTCTTTCATTCGGTCGGATTTACTTTTGGATGTTGAAGTATTCGAGTGATTTTTGCGGGTCTATATCTTGCTTTTTTCTTTTTTTTTTTTTCCTTTCTTTTTTTTTTCTTCCATTTCTATTATTTTATATCCACGTTGGTAGAACAAGAATTTAAGGGAGAAATGGAAAGTTTTAGACGATTTAAAACGGGATCCTTGTAAAATCGATATCAACTCGCAATCGTAATTGCTTGCTTGCTTGTTTGTTTGTTTGCGTTTAAAATTCGTTAATTGTTTTCCAATTGGTGGTTATTCGCTTGACTTGACTTTACTTCTTCTTATTCTCCTTTTTATTTATTTAAAAAATATATATTTATTCATCAATGGAAAATTTGTATATACATATATTATAATACAATAATAATTTCACACGAAGCAAATTATTTAATATAAAAATCTAATTAACATTGAGAATCAACGAATAGAGAGACAAATAGAGTTTAAAAAAAAAAAAAACAAAATAAGATAAATTAATCAATTAGAAGAACAATTTTGTATAAACATGAAAAATAAGAGCTTTTTATTACTAACTAAGTTTCATATATATATAGTAAACTCGTGTGTGGTTTATCTTTGAATTCCTGCTACTTGAAATTCTTTTTCTTCATTTCTCCATACTATTTGTAAAAGTTTTGTGGTTGCTTTTACCATTTCTCCTTGGTTTTCCAACCTCGAGCAAAACAGCAGCAGGTTCTTCTTCTTCTTCTTCTTCTTCTTCTTCTTCTCTAGTCTCGAATTGGTAAATCTATACCAACCAACACACACAACCATCAAAATTACTATCAGCCTTGCCTAGCTCTTTCTTTTCTCTTTCTATTTCACTAACATTTTCTTTAAATACGACCACGTACCTATACTATGTTTTATAAAGTAGAAAAAAAGTCCTACACATTTAAAACTTTCAATACGCGTTTTCTTTTCCTACGCTTAGATTACCTAAGATATTAGTACAAGTCGGCTTGGAAAATAAGTCCGGATTTCAAATATCTTTCGTTTCCCGTATTCTCTTTTGTCGTATATTTTCTTCTTTGTACGAGAAAAGGAATATGAAAGAGAGAAAGAGAGGGTATATTCTCAACGTTGCTTATCTTTAATTAAAGCGTGCACTACCCAGTCTACTTGGTAAAAAAGAAAAAAATATAATTTGAAATTATTGTTTAATTTTATTATTAAAAATCATGTCAGGATTGTATTGTTATAATTCTCAATTAAATTATCTCTCAAATCTAGAGATTTTTTTTTTTTTTTTAATTAAAATATATAAATTTAATAGAAAAATAAATTCATTTGAAACATCGGATAACTGTTTGTTACCAATGATATTTTATTTATCTTTTACAGGTATGCATTTAATCGTTCTGAGTAGTATTATTGTGGTTGGTCTTAACCTGACCACTGCATCCGACGTATTGATTCTTGGATCTACGTCTATGGGATTTGCTGAGCAACGGGAATCGTCTAAGGTTCACTGCCGATATAGTAAGGCCTTTTCGATGCTACAGGTTCGATGTTCCGATCCAAAATTGGAAGAGATTCCTCGTGATTTAAATTCTAATATACAGGTAAGGTATTAAAACAAAAACAACTAAAATTACATATAGAAAATCGAATTAAATAATATATTTGAATCGCATGATATGAATACCATTTGATTTCTTCTATGTCATGTGATTAACTACAGATAATAATTTTGATGTGCATTATTTTTTCTATCATTTTAATATAATAAACGTCAAATATATTTCATCGTCGTGTAAATATAAATAAGAAAAGAAATAATAATTGATCCTTTTTTTCTTTCAAATTTTTCAACAGATTCTTGATGCATCCTCAAGCAGAATTCGTGATCTCCACAACGACAGTTTTTCCTCGTACACCAAGTTGGCCTATATTTATCTCGGCGATAACTTTATACAAAACATCGAGGAGTCTGCATTTGCTCGACAATATTATCTCGAAGTCCTTGACCTGACGAAGAATGGTTGCGACAATCTACCGAAGAATCTCTTCCAATTACCCTATCTACGTAAAGTTTATCTATCCGTTAATAAATTCGGCGACTCGGTATTTCAAACCGAACAAGTAACATCGCCCCTTGATTTTCTTCAATTACATCGTAACAAATTGACAAAGTTACCAGAAATGGGATACATGCCAACCCTTACGAGCTTAAACGTTTCCGAAAACATGATCGGCAAAATAACTACGAAAGATTTGGCACGTTTTTGCAAAATTAAGAAACTTGATGCCACAAAGAATCCACTCAATCTCGAAGAGGACAATTGCGAATGCGTCATTATGCGTAGCTGGTTGAAATTACGTGAGATTGTATTCAAGCCAGATTACAATTGTACTCCCGCGGCGTTAAAACGTTGCGGAAACGTCACCTTCAGCAACGAGACTTTAACCATCTACGATGAATGCATGAACATCCTCAGGATACAGATACAAACTAAAAAGGCACGTAATATGTGGATCATCGTGGCATCGTGCGCTGCCTGTTTCATATTTATCATATTTCTAATATTACTTTGCATGCATAGACGTAACAAAAGGAAGAAGGAAAAATTAAAAAAGGAACAACAACGTATAGCCGCTAATAACGCTAATACACAATTATTGAATAGTAATTTGAAACAGGAGAGAGAAAAATAAAACTAAATTCATAGTTTCTTCTTCTTATTCTTCTTTTTCTTTCCTTTAAAGGGGGAGGATAAAGAATATTTTTTTTCTCTTCTCTTTAATCGTTAAATGTAAAAGCCGAGAATTTTTTCTCGGTTACCAACCTACTGCACGATCCTTTTTTCTTCTATCTTCTAACTTCTTCTTTGCTTTATTTTCCTTTCGATCGAAAGATTTCATCGTTATCGAGGATATTGAACTTAGGAGA